ACAGAATTTAATAATAAAATGTAACTCCCTTTCTCTAAAAAAAAAAATAAATAAAAAAATAAAATATATTTTTTAAAAAATCAAACTTGCCTAAATCAGTAGAGCCCTATTGTTAATCAGAAGCTTATAGCAGGGGAGGCCGGGGGATTGTTAAGGGCGGGGAAAAAAAAGAGACATATGTAATACTCTTTGTAATACTTTAAGCAATAAAACAATTTAAAAAAAGAAAAAAAAATAATAAAGTTCTTTTAATAATTTAACATTTAGGTAAGACATCAGCCACACTCTTCTTGTGCCTAGATTTACTGAAGTGAATCAGATGCCTGTGAGTGACACAGTGCAAACTTCATAAGGAAAATGAGTTAACATGAACTTGAGAGAAACTTACACAGAGCCAGCAGTTGTTTACTACACAGAATGCGTTCAGAAAGAACTGGAAAATTAGTGAGAAAGAAATCAAGTCTGCCAAACCAGAGGCAAATGTTGCTGGAGGGAGAATCTCCATTGCTGGTTTAACCAAAGTCACACCTGTAGCTCCAAGGGTTCCCGGAGCTTAATTAGTCTGCTTATCAAGAACATTGCCTACCAACAAAACTTAAGCACTACATAGGGAGTTATTTTTTTTTTTAAATGAAGCAAAATGCAAGTCAGGTATAATCTGAAATTGCTAGCAGTTGCCAAGTGAAAATTCAGTCAGCAGCACAGCAGAATTTTAACTATTGAACTGCATCAAAGTTTCTGATTTCCATAATCAGTAGAGATTCAACTTAGCACCACAGGCAAGAGCTGCCTTTAAGCAGGAAATCTACGCATGGCCCGAGGCAGTGCGGCCTCCCTTCCCCACAGTGCCCCTAACTAGGAGTGAGAACTCAAAGCCTGAGAGTCCATAAACACCTGAGGCCTCAAGTTTTAGCTTTAAAATTGTCTAAAGTCACTTATTTAATTGCAATGTAACGTATTTCCAAGATCATTTAAATACTAGAGGCCCAATGCACAAATTTCGTGCACTGAGGGGTGGGAGTGGGGGTGGGGGTCCCTCAGCTGGGCCTGCGCCCTCTCGCAGTCCAGGACCCTTGCTCCTTAGCACCCGCCTGCTCACTGCTCCTTAGCGCTGCCACAGAGGTGGAGAGGCTCCCGCCACCGCCGCTGTGCTCGCCAGCCGTGAGCCCAGCTTCTGGCTGAGCGGTGCTCCCACTGTGGGAGTGCACTTTTATTATACAGATGATAATAGCCATAATTTACTGAATATTAGCTCCTGGGCAGGCCCTGTGCTAAGAATTTTACATCAATTATCTTATGTACTTCTCACAATAACGTACACTGTTTCTATTCCCGTTTTAAGAGAGGGAGCTTCAGCTCAGAAGCTAAGAAGCTTTCCCAAGTTTATAAAATTAACAAATGGTGAAGATGGAATGTGAACCACACAAGTTTCTAATTATTATTCTCCAATATACGCTATACTGTTGTAAATCACTTTTCAGTTAAATTAGTTCATCTACCCCTCAATTATCTATGTCCAGGACCAGCAAACTTTTTCTGTAAAGGGCCATAGTAACTATGTTAGGCTGTGGGGACCATATGAGGTCTCTGTTGGTCACGACAACTCAGTTCTGCCACTGAAGCGTGCCATCAGCTCAGACAATCCTTAAGGGAATCAGCGGGGATGTATTCCAGTAAAACTTTAAATACATCAACAGGCGGCAGGAAGATTTGGGCAGCAGTTTGAGAACCCTTGATATAAGTAAAACTCATGTTCCAGATAGAGCTGGATATCTGTCCTTTGGTTTTGCATAATCTCCTATTCTTGTTTAGGAAGAACAGGTTAAAAGAAAATTATTTTAAAAAATGGGAGAAGCCAATGCCAAAAGGTAAGGGGAAGGGATTTAATTTTTCTCTTCTTTCCTCTACCAACCTATGGATAACAACAGGGGCCCGACAGGATCCTCCCTCCAGTCCCTCAGCCATGGGTTCTCTGCTTCCACTGGGCCCTGGTATCCTCAGCCTCTGGCACCCTGCGCAGGCAGGACACAGCCAATTTCCCCATCAGCTATGACCCCCCAGTTAGATGGTTCTGTCTTACCTTCCCACCTAACTGGACACCTACCCCTAAAGTCCAGCGAGTTTTTCTTCTACATTGTTTATGGCATATCTCTATGCTTTTGCTCATGCTAGGAAAAATGTCCCGCTCTCTCTGTTAACTGAGTCCAATGTCTAATTGCAGAAATGTCATACTGCTTCCTAGTTCAAAACCCTTGGTCCCTTGAGTCAACTCTAAAACATCCTCTCTAAACATGCCAACTATACTTGTGTATTTTGGTTTAAGTGTTGCTTCACTTATTTCAAATACTATAACACTAATACCATAAAAGAATGAGAATCATTCTTACTTAAGAGTCTTGTCATTGGATATAATTGGCCAAAGTAGTTTGATTTATAAGATTGATTTTAGAGATTTATCTTTGTTTCCAGTTCTGAATAATGAGAGAAAAGGGTAATGTTCAGTTTCGCAAAGAGCTGGAAGGTAAAGGTTATTCAGGCATGTAACACTAGTGATAGCTTTGGATATCAAACCCAAGAAGCTGAGGTAGAAGAAAAATCATGGGGACACTAAAATGTCCAAATGCACTCAAATGTAGACAGAAAATAAAATGGAATATCAATAGCATTACAAATTCCTGTTAAGAAAGAATGTCTGATTAATGAGTGCATCTCAAGTAACTCAAAAAGAATACGACATTCAAATTACTCATGTTTCTTGCATTTTACTAAGATCTTCACTGAGACCTCTTAAGAGGAAGAAAACTGTAAAGAAGGGTCTAGTTGAGGACAGCTTGGTTCTTTCTCATTAATTCTTAGCTGCTCCTTTCACTCCTTTGGGCTCACAGGGCCTCACTTCTCCCTCTGCCAGTGGCAACCATGTCTTATCTGATAACAAAGAGTCCTCTATGATTTCCACACTTTGATTTTAAAGAAACTTGTTCTATTTTTTTTCCTGCTCCTTGTAGATGTTTCTGGTTTATTTCTCTCAAGCCTCCTAGTAACGATAAACTCCAATTTTAAAGAACTATCTCTTTTAGGAGCCAATAATATAAACATGCAACTTAATTTTTAAGCAGATATTCAGAGAGGTTTCACTGCTCAAAGTGAGAGCTCAAAGTAAAGAAATATGGTCACCAATGAGAACTTAATGCCTTAAAACACACAAACAGACTTGAATTATTACGTAAGTACAGCCAATGGTACACAGTCTGTGCGCTCCCAGGAATGCACAATGCACACCCACACGGTAGAGACCCTGAGGAGGTCTGCAAAGAGGAACATTCGAATGGTTTCCTCCAAATGTTGCCTGACCCCCAAAACTTCTACCCCCAGCACCTGTTACCATCTGTGAGAACTATTTCATGGAAAGCTGCCAGAGGAGCTTTTGAAGAATTAATTAATAGCATATTAAATGTAAAAGACAGTTTAAAATTTTAGCCACATCTTTATGAACTTCATATTTCTTCTGGAAATTCCTAGTACAGTTGACTATATCAATCTGATACAGTTCAATATAATTCCCAATATGGTGAATACATCCACATTGATAAATGCTACAGTGAAACATAACAAGTTATGACTTGGAACTATTTATCAATGAGCACTGTAAATTCACCACGATCACAGCAGAGCCTAGCCCTGGTTTTGCCATTAACTAAGAGTGTGACACTGGGATAGAGGTTTAGTCTCAGAGCTTTGATTCACTTATAGCTAAATTGGGGCTAGACTTGCCTTGTCTACCCAACTGGTCCATTTTGCGAATCAAGTGATCAAGATCGAAATCAAAACCAAGACTTTTCCGTCAAGTATTATAAAACCATTAAAAGAGTTTTAAAAGTATACAAAGCTATATCTTATTTCAATAGAACATCAGTTTTCTTTTTATAGAGATACACTAAATGCTACTGTGACTTCTTTTTCCGAACTTCGCTAAATATCTCATTGTACCTAGTCAGAAAATTTTTATTTAGCCATTAACTATCATGATGCATCATCAAACGTTTTTCAGAAAACACATGGCAAAAACAGGCAATAAAATCAGAAAGCTTTGTTTAAAGAAGAAAAGATGTATCGCCCAGTGGTGTGTGAGCAGTGCCACCTTCTCTGGGCTCTGTTACAAACTCACTTGTGGCATAACAAAGGCAGCCCTTCATCCCACCGAGTGGAGACAGTAGGGCTCTATACTCTTTGAGTCCTTCATTAAACTATTGATTCCTTTAGCATTATCCATAATGGTGAAGTGCTAGTCTCTCACTCCCTTCAATAGCTTCCTCACTTGATGGGGAGGAAGCCACGGTGATTTATTTACCTGACATTTTCCAGTCCGGATGTCATACAGGGCCACTGAACCATTGCGAGCTCCCACTGCTATCCTGTGACTCCGCTCATAGTAGCTGACCATGTAGAACCTGAATTGAACATTTTCAAAACAACAACAAAACCAGGTTAGATGACCTGCACGTGGAAGTGGAGAGCAACACCTTTCAAAGGTGAAAGCCAGCTCCGATACATATTTTAAAATGTGTACATCTATAGTTAGTGTATTGAGACTTTTCAAAAATAGTTCATTTTAGTAATTCTTAAAGCAATTGAAAGAAAAATGATGGGGAATGCCAGTAAGGTCTGCTAATAATTATTTTCAATGGAAAACAACTTCATAATAAGAAACACCCTTAAATTTTAAAATAAGAAATAAGTGACCCTTATTTGACGATACAAAAAAAACACAAATATGAAAACTCAGTTTTACTACTGTGACTATTATGCAAATATGTCTATTTGAACAGAAATGGAAAAAAAGAAAAGGATTATGTATTCAATCGAATTATGTTCTCATGGCTTATTACAGTATTAAGGAGTGAAATACTTTCTAGCAGCAGAACAATCACATAAAAGCTTCATAGATGTTATGCTTATGTTCACATCAATAATTTAGAATGAAATTAGAAAGTTATCCACCAGAAAAAAAGCTACCTGGCAAATTCCCTATTTTTCCCCACATTTATCAGTTTATCTAAATGACAGTTGTGGCTACAGGTAGTATGAATAACCACATTGGGTGTGATTTGGCATTGTGTAAAAATGGGATGTAGGGAGGATGGTTGGAAGGTTATAAGAGGTTGATTTATTATTTATTTTTTCTAGATTAAATTTCATGACTGGATTAAGTATTTCAATTCCAGATCTATGCTTTGTCCTAATGATTCCATGGCCATATGGCAAGAGCCTGGGAAGGTAAGAATAAAAACTATTAGAGGAGTAAATAAGGAATGATTTTATATCCCTAAGGAGTTTTGAATATACCTTCCCATTATCTAGTCCTACTGTCTCGGTGTGAGAGTTGCCGGATGAACAAGTGGCCTACCCTAAATATTTATGAGGCTATTGCATCAATTCTATTACACACTCCTTGCCTTTTTTATCTTTGGTTTCATATTACCAGAAAACATCGGTAACTTTTCCGTTATTATTTTTAAAAACATGGGATGGGGAGGTAAAATGGATGATGGAAAAGAAATACCATCCTCTAATGTTTCTAGAGACTGATGTAGAGTAGAAAAGTGCTGGGGCATGGACTGCATTTCTGAAATGCAATGAGGGAGGCTGAGAGACCGAGATAAGATGTTTGCAGGGGAGCATTTTTAAACCAGGGACATTTTGACAAAGCCATTTCAGCTTTATTAGACATTACGATATTCATACATATTTCATAAGCCTGGAAAACTATTAAGTTTTTAAACTTTTTTGTTTGTTACTTATTACTAAGAAGTGGGTTCAACAATAATTTTGTCTGAACCCTAAGCCTCCCCGGATGATGCGCCTCCTTCCTCTTCAGTGGAGGACGGATGCTGCGTTTTCAGTCACGCAGAGGCACCGCGTTAGCATGGCCTGCGGGTCTCGCTGGGCGCAGACCTGGCACGTCCTCTTGTGTATGGTTTGAGGGAAGCAAGGGTACTGAGGCTCCTGACACATAAAGCCCCCCACCCCCCATTAAGTGGTTATTAAAACGTTAGTTTCTCAAAGCATCACTTCTACCTCAATGGAGAAGATAGGAATCAGCATTCTAAATCTAATGTTCTTATACTCAAAAATAAAAAGTGATTTAGTTTAAAAACAGTTGGTCTAGGTATTGGACTTCACTATATGCCTATATCTATACCTATATCCTATATCTAGATCTGCATCTATACCAGCCGTGGGCAAACTATGGCCCGCGGGCCCATTTGAAATGAATAAAACTAAAAAAAAAAAAAGACCGTACCCTTTTATGTAATGATGTTTACTTTGAATTTATATTAGTTCACACAAACACTCCATCCATGCTTTTGTTCCGGCCCTCCGGTCCAGTTTAAGAACCCATTGTGGCCCTCGAGTCAAAAAGTTTGCCCACCCCTGATATACACACGTAAGTACACACAATTTATGTCCTTAGAGTAACATGGAACAATTGTTTTAACAAATATTTATTCTGTACAACTTAATAGCCACAAGAAAATAAAACTTCCAGAGGTACTTTTAAAAAATCTGTTATTAAGCTTTGCACAGATCTAATAGCTATATTGCCAAAATCCTTTCACAAAACATGAATACAATTACACCTCCAAATAATCCTCTTTAAAACAACCACTGGTAAAAAATACATTTATGTTGACAACATTTTACTTAGTTAAACTAGAATCTAAAAAGTTTTTGTTACATTGACCATTTTCTGTGCTCTGATATCTACCGCTCACCCTTCTATGTCATCTGTAAACACCGTTATTTATGGGAGAAAAGAAATCAAATCTATTCTTGGTATCAAATCTTGAGTCTGCCTGAAAGGACCATATGTTACAGGTCTGCATTTTTTATTCTTTGCAATTTACCACTAGACTAATACTTCTCAGCAGTACCTTAAAGAATTCTGAACAGGGAAGGTCTTCTGGCGCGTTTCTGATTGGATTTGTTAAACTGTTTATTTCTTTAACTGTGTCTCTTAACAAAACAGAGTAAGTCCGTTTTACTTATGCAGTCACTTCACAAGTACCCACTCTGTGGTCTGGCTGCAGTGAGCCTGTCTCTGCCGAGGGTTCCAGAGCCCACCACACCCCTCGACAACTCTTCCCATTAGGGGGCTGTCAGGACCAAGGATGGTCTAACCCCCCAAATTCTCAATGGATTGAAGAAGGGGATCCATTACAGTTTTTAAGACTATTCTAGTCTTGACCTGATCCTACAGGAGAGTCCTGAATTCCTCCAAAATTGGGGAGGGGTGTGCAGAGTACGATTCATGTGTGTTGAGTCCTCTGGAAAAGGTATCTGTCTCCAGGTTGCTGCACTGGTAACATGTCACTTGGGCAGCGTTTCTTAGGCAACAGCCTGGCAACAACAGCCTTTTGTTATATTCAAGTTAGAACAAAGGTTCTTCTGGACTCAGTCTACCACAAGGAAACTAAGTCAGAGAGAACATTACCACTCATGCATATGAAAGAACAATAAAGTGGAATTGAGTAATGCTGCAAATACATATTTCTTGTTGGGGCCGGGGTGGTCTTCATCCAGAAATTTTAAAGTCCTTGATCCCCACATTTTCATTATTGCCTGCGTGCACCCCTCAGAGATGCCACAGCCGCAATCAAGGACGAACTTTGAAAAGGAGGAGGCTCTTTATTGAACACGTTCATACATCCGCACCAGAACTCAGGCCTCTCTGCTGTGCATGCGTTTGACAGATCTGGAGAAATGCAGGTGGCTCTGGCGAAGGCATGAGCTCAAGGAGAGCTGTGCTAGTTTTGGGGGTGTGAGCAGTAGAGGGTGTGGAAATATTTTCCAAAAGTGCTCCATTCCAGTGGAAGGCACCAGTTCAAGAGGACAAAATGGAAAGATCTCTCGTTCTGGATGGTGAGGGACACTGGCGAAGGGCATCTGTGAGTCAGGACTTCCCACCCAGTGTTTGCACACTTTAAATAGTCAGTGGATATTTCCTGAATAACACTTGACTACCTAACAGGGTAATTACTTTCCTTCTTAAAACAAACAAACAAACAAACAACTTGCTAGAGGCCCCTGTGTGTTTGTAGGAGATTGGAAACACTTCTTAGGCTAGACAGGGAGCAGCGTTTCTGCAAGAAAAAACACCGCGCATGTTGTGAGTGCATTGTATGAGAGCTGAAAAAACAGGTCTCTTGTTGCCTGGCTCTGCCACTCACTGTGTGACCTTGGACAAGTTACTTAACTTGCATATGCCTCAGTTTCCTCATCTGAAAATGAAAACAATAGTAGCTATTTATGTCGCTGGGAGGATTAAATGAGCTAATACATGTGGAGTACTTAGAACAGTGCCTGGCACATAATAAGCACTTACTATGGTAAGTACATGAATCATCACCATCATTATCATTTATACCTCTGGATACATACTATAGAAGGAATAAATAAAATGTAGTTAATTGGCTATTTCCCTAGGGCAAATAAGTGCTAGCTGATAACATGCTAATAAATGAAGAAAATGAATGCCCCAAAATATTTTAAACTTGCTTATTTCTTAAATATTTGTGATTTGCATATATAACCTGGTAACAATTGCAAATTATTTTAGATTTAGCTTAATGTTGCTAATGCAAAAAAAAATGGATTTTGGTTTGGAACTCTATATCATTTCCAAGAGTTTAAAAAATAAATATTCTTTCTGTTATACAGTGAAATGAAATACTCCTGGAAGCTTTGGAGTTTTATTTTTTTTTAATATGAAGAAGTTTAATACTGAAAGACAGCTATCTTTGGGGAATTTTTAGGAGTAGGAAAATGGTTTTAGTCGGGTTTCTACTCACATGAGTACAAGAATAACAACTAAAGTTATTTATTATAAAAAAGTATGCTATAAAATGGTAACTAACTTAAGAATTTTACTGGAAGTTAGGACAGAAGCTGTTTCATATCCCATTACTGTTATTACCACCTGGGATAAGAACAAACCGCAGGTTAGGAAAATTTTTTTAAGAAGTGAGCTCATGCACTGTTCTAATGTAGACAGTGTTCATTTCCTTACTGGATTCTAAGTGCCCATTTAGGGTGAACCGAGCTGATTCAGCTTTTCACTTAAAAAGCAGAATCAATCAGTCTGTCTACAGAATAACAAAGTTTAAGAAAAGATAAACTATCTCTGGCCCTGCCCGCTGTGGCTCAGTTGGTTGAGCATCCTCCCATGCACCAAAGGTCGCCGGTTCCATTCCCAGTCAGAGCACATGCCCAGATTGTGGGTTTGATCCCTGGTTGCGGTGCGTAAGGGAGGCAATGAATCAATTTTTCTCTTTCTCTATCTTCCTTCCTCTCTCTTTCTAAAGTTAATAAAATATATTTTTAAAAAATTATCTCTGAAAATACAGACTTTTAACTCTCCTGCCTAGACTAATTTTTTTCCATTCAGTTC